TTTATTATTAATATATATTATAATTAAATATAATAATTTATAAAATATATATAATATATAATAATATATCTTATTAATATTAAATTAATTATATATAAATATTATTATTAGTATATAAAATTAATAATTATAATATTAGAGATAACACATTTAAATATAGATATAATATAATATCTACACACACACATTTAATTTATATCTATATTAATAGATATAATATATATAATATAATATATAAATTTTGATCTATATATATACTAGTATTGTGGTTTAAATGATTGACATATTCGACGATGACACACCAACCATAGGGAATATATTTTCTTTCGAAAATCGTGACACGTACATTTTTTCTTACGAGCTACTTATTTCATTTCACGTACATATTTTAAATATTCGCGTATGTATGCATGCATACATGTACGTATGTATGTACGTATCACGATCGTTCAAAAGAGAAGCGAAACGATCGGATTTCTCGATCAAACGGAGAAATCGCTAGTTAATAAAAATAGCACGCGCCCTCGAAACGCTCGTGCTCGAACCTCAAGTATTGTTTTTTTTTTGTTTTCATTTTTTTGAATCAACCAACTTTGCCGACGAATCACTAAATTCATTGGAATTTTACTGGAATTCCTGCTACTTCTACTTTATTTCTTTCTTTCTTTTTTACTCGTTCACTAACTCGGTAAAAACTAAGAAATCATTCAATTTATTTAAGTCATACCGAATCGATCGAGTGTTCAATAATTCAACAAAATGTTTTTCCAAACGATATATGTGAAAATCACTACAAGTTATAAGGAAAAACAAAAACAAACCAATCCTAATTGAATTATTAAAAATAATAAAACACGTGTACATTCATTTATTTAAAACAAAAAAATTACAACAAATTTTGTTCAATGATGATAATAATATTTAAATAAGATACCTCGATAATTTTTAAAATTCCAATTAATTCTATTAAATTAAACAATAACAACAACAACAACAACAAATTATTTTTACGTTACGAAAATACAACAAAAGAAAAAAAGAAAACGAAAGAAGAAGAAGAAGAAGAAAAATATGAAAGAAAGAAAAAGGGTGCAAGCCCCCGAAATAGATTTTGGGTATTGTGTCGGTGGGAAAAGCCTCTTCCGCCCTTCTGACTCCATACTCTACCTCGAATTCTAATTCATAGTGAATAGGACCGGAGGGTGAAACGTGAGACGGAAATAGGTGCAAGTGCAGTACGGTACCTTTACCAACCACTGGACGATGGTTAACAGACAATTAAAAATAAAAAAAAAATAAAAATAAAAAATAGAAAAGAACATAAAAGAGAGCGAGTTTAGGGTAGACGAGAGTAAAATAAAACTGGAGTCTCAGTTGAAGAAACGAGTTATATATAAACCTTTCTTCTACTTCTTTTTTTTTTTTCAGTGCGAACCCGTGAAACCCTTTTTGTTATGTTCAAACGATTTTTCTAGTTTTTTTTTTTTTTTAAACATGTTAACGATATAATTTTTGAGATTCTAATCTTGGTAAACCTAAGATAGACACATATCCATCGATCGTTAAAAATTAATTTAAAAAAAATATTAAATTAAATAAATAAATATAAATGAAAACGTACCTTTCGTGAGCTTCCGGTATGATATCATCAATGACAACATAAATCATGGCTCCTGCTGCGAAAGCCAATGCATAAGGTAAAGCAGGTGCTGCTAACGTCACCCCCGCAGCACCAAGGACACCAGCGATTGGTTCAACCATACCAGAAAGCTGCCCGTACCAGAAGCTCTTCAAAGTGCTGATCCCTGCTGCCTGTAAGGGCAATGAAACTGCCAAGCCCTCGGGAAAATTCTGAATGCCAATTCCGATTGCCAGGTTCCTGCAAAATCATAAATAGGAAAAAATATCTGCATTTGAATTTTTCAAGTGTCATCGTCTACTAAACGCGTGTTTGAATGTTATAATTAAAAATTCCATTGATTTTTCATATTCTTGTCAGCAACAAGCCTAAATTTATCATTGTTTATTGAATTTATATATAAAAAGGGTTAGATACCCCATACTTAAAAGTTTATGAATCTTAATTTAATAATTTATTATTAATATTTTGTATATATGACAATGTTAACGTGCACAAAGATCAAAGTAGAAAACACAAAATGTGAAATCTCATCTCAGAGAAGATTCGAAGTTTAGAACATCGAATGGATGAATGGTTGGTTGGTTTGTAGAGAGAGAGGAAAAGAGAGAGAAGCAGAAACAGGCGGGGAGGATGGGTGGGTTGTATTGGGAGAGACGATTAGGAGGTATACGAGAAATTCGCCTGATCACGCTTATAAATTATCATTTCTAAAGAGAAAGAAAAAGAGATAGAAAATGAACAAAATAAAGAAAGAGAGAGAGAGAGAGAGAGAAAAAAAAAAGATTCTAACGTGGTGGATCGTATCGATTCTTGGAAGGCAAAACTGGATTCCATAAAGCGGAAGAGGAGACGATGACTTGGGTCTTAGGTCTCTGAAATCATGCGAGAAAGAGAGAAAGAGAGTTGTGCGTCCTGCAAAAATCCAGGTTCACATCATCAAAAGAAAGAAAAGGGTGGGAGAAAGGGGGATGAGAGGAAGGGGAGGGAGGAGGAGGGGGGTAGGTAAGCATGTGTGAGCAAGCAAAGATCCGACAATAAGAAGAAAAGCATAGTGGAGACAAGGTGAGTCTCTGATATAGCTGTTGCTGTATTGCTATTTCTGCTATTGGTGCTATTATTGATTCTCTGATGCTGATGGTGCTATTGGTGTTACTGCAGAACTCCTGCTGCTGCTGCTGTTGCTTCTGTTGCTGTTGCTGGTTTGCTTCGAAACGAGCAAAGGCGAGTTCTTGAAACTGGTCGACGAGCTTCGACATTCTCAACATTTTTCCATCTGCTCTTCCTCTACCCCACTTTACCACCCCAACAACCCATACTAGATACTTTGCCATGTTGGAAATCAGACTCCTGTTTCCTTCTTCTTCTTCTTCTTCTATCATCATTTTCTATCTTCTATCTTCATCTTCATCTTTATTTTCTTCTTCTTCTTCTTCTTCTTCTTCTTCTTCTTCTTCTTCTTCTTCTAGTGTTTTCTGTGTTTATCTGTACATATGTGTATGTATGTACGTATGTGGGTATCTTTTTATCGAATTTTGTTCCTACCAAGTCGAGTTTCTCATTGCTATCGTAAATAAGATGTGAATGGACATCTACTCTGACCTTCTCCTATTTTTTTTTTCTTTTCTTTTTTTTTTTTTTTTGCATAATATACATATCATGTGTGGTCATTCAAGTTGGAATTCTTGCATGTATAAATAAAGATACGTACATTTTATCTGATAAGATTAATCCGATCTCGTATTTCTGTCTTAACTTGGTTTTTCTTATCTTTCTTTTTTTCTTTTTTTTTTTACTTTTTTAAACAATATCGTAGAAATTTTTGCATTAATAAATGAGATAAATATATATTATGTTAAATAAAAAAAAAAAGTACAAAAAAATCTTTCTATCCGTTCGTCGAAGTGCATCGAAACTTCAAATGGTGCTCCGCATCGTCGATCTTTTCATCGAGATTAGAAAGTCTAAGCTATAGATCTTTGATATATGTATACGTTTATATAATACGTGTGTGTGTGTGTGTGTATGTGTGTAAAAATGTATAGTAGATTCAAAGTAATTAAAGTGAATCCTTTAATTAATCTGATCTGTTTGATAAGTTACATTGTTTTAACGTCGAGTATTATCGAACTGTATAATCTAATCAATAGATCGAACCTTACGGTGAAACTTTTCAAATTCGATAATTCCTTGATAAATTTTTGTTTATTTATTTATTTTTCTTTCCTCTTTTACTTCTTCTTCTTCTTCTTCTTCTTCTTCTTCTTCTTCTTCTTCTTCTTTTATTTATCTTTATCTTTATCTTCTTATTTCTGTTTTATTCGACCTTTATTCATTCTTTTTCTCTGGCGACCTCGTAGATCGCTAAACGTGATCTACGATTCAGGTAATAACACGGTAAGATCTTTTTCTCAAAGAAAGAGAGAAAGAAAGAGAGAAAGAAAGAGAAGGGGAGAGAGAGAGAGAGAGAGAGCGCGAATGATTCGTATGAAATTTTGTCTCTACGAAAAAAAATTAAAGAAAAAATTTATAATTTTAATAAACCAAATAATTATTGAAATATTCTTTCTAATAAATATACATATATATTTAAATATAAATTTTTATACAAATAATTATACAATAATATAATATAATATTTTTTTGTTATTTATAATTAAATTTTAATTAATTTTATTGTATATTATATTATATTATATTATAATATATACATCAATATATATATTTTATTTTAAAAATTACATTTTTTTAATGCATAATTCATAAACATTGCATATCATTATAAATCCCATCAAAATTTCGTACAATTTTATTTTTTATTCCTACAAATAAATAAACAATTATTCTCATATTATTATTAAATAAAATTTTCGAAAAAATACTTCGTAGTAAATTTCGCGAAAGTATTTTTTCGTAATCGGGTCCATTGCTAGAGAAGAACGCGAGAGGAACGCGAAAAGAGAAGTCAAGTAAAAGTAGAATGAGGAATAAGGATGAAAATGAGGATGAGGATGAGGTGGAAGGAGGAGGGTAAGAAGTACGGCAGGTGAATGAACGACAGGATCATCGTATACGTGTAAACAGAATGGCCTTGTATATGTGTGTTAGTGAACACACACACACACACACACACACACACACAGAAACATAGACGAGAAAAGATCACATATTGTACTGTGAGATGCTATTCTAAAGTTGTATCTAGCAACAGAAGAAAGGAGGGGAATTAGGAGAAGAAAAGGGGGACAAGGGAGAGGTGAGGTGAGGGTGGGGGAAGGGGGAGAATATCATTGCACGAGACCCCGTTTTCTCTTGCAGAAATCTTGGCTCATTCTCCGATATCAGTCGGTCGTTCACCGGTCCAAGGCTCTATGGTGTTTTGTAGTAGAAAATCGTTTCTGAGAGAAAGAAAGAGAGAGAGAGAGAGAGAGAGAGAGAGAGAGAGAGAAAGAGAAGATTCCACTTATGTTAGAGAAAGAAAAGAAATAATAGAAATAAAGATAGAAAGATAGAAAGAGAAAGAGAATCGGTCGGATGAATGAACGGAGAGACTCGGTGAAATCGGATTCCTTTGGTATGAACCGAGAATGTCGGAAATGGTATCCTAAAAGCTTACTCTAACCACCCTACCACGACGAGAATACACCAAGGTCGTTACGTGAATCCCCATAGTCGTGTCGCAGAAGATTATTTAAGATACCAAACGATTTAGTTAATAATTAATATTATTGTATTAAATAATTAAATGGAAAACGTTCGATCGTTTAAATTTAAATGTGTTTCAATTTTTTAATCGAACATTTTGCATTTCATACGATATGGTTTTTTCTTTTTTTTTTTTTTTATTGGTAACATATTGTAAGTAATATAAATTATTAAATTATAATTAATTTAGCATTAATAATAAATCAAAAATGAAATTAAAGGGAAAAAGATATACTTTGTAAGAAATGATGTAAAATCTTGAATGAAACTTTAAACGTTTAAAGATCTATGCTGGTGTAATCCCATAAGAGAAAGAAACGAGAAAACGGGATCGTAAAGAAAACAACTGTCTGAATGAATGAAGAGAAAGAGAAAGAAGTAAAAAGAGATAGAGAGAGAGAGAGAGAGAGAGAGAGAGAGAAAGAAAGAAATAGAAAAAGTTCGTAGATACATGGAACGCGGTAACGAAGGTCTTCCACGATTCATCGTCTTAAATCGTTGCTGCTGAGTTAGCTGTAGGAAATAGGATCGATAAAAATCAGTCGAGTTTCAAAGTCGAGAATTGAGAAGGAAAAAGAAGTGGTAAAGAAGGAGGAGGAGGAGGAGGAGGAGGGGATTGAGGGGGAGGACAGGTAAGTAGCTCACGTAAGAAACATATCTAGCAATACCTTGTATGGAGTAGTTCTTGAAAATTTTTGCTTTTATGTCACGAATCGCATTCGTTATCGTAGTAGGATCATAGTTTTAAAGAAAGATTGTTAGAACAAATTAAAATATAGAAAGAAACAATAACAAAAAAAAATTGTATTTTAAACGTGAATGAATAAGTAAGTAAGTAAATAAGTAAGTAAGCAAGTAAGTAAGTAAGTAAGTAAGTAAGTAAGTAAGTAAATAAGTAAGTAAACGAGAGAGAGAGAAAGGGAGATAGGGAGGAGGAAGAAGAGGAGGAGGAGGGTTATTGAAGAGAACGACGTGGTGAGGGAAAGGAACGAAGGAACGAGTTGAGACGATGAAAAAGGGAGCAAAAAAATAGTTCAGGGTTCTTCATCCATAGCGGGAGCTCGGTAACGAGGATCTTCCGCGATCCAGGTCGTTGGATCTAAAAGATCCAGGAACTACTACAATTTACAAGGAACAATAGATCAACATTAGAACTGAAAGAGAGTGTGTAAGATAAAGAGAGAGAGAGAGAGAGAGAGAGAGAGAGGAGTTAACTTTGAACGTAGTCGTTGAGAACAGGTGAATGAATGACGCGATCTCTCAAACCTTTCTTTCTATTTTACTCGTACAGAAAGGGGGAACGGTGGGGTTAGGAAAGAGACGTGTGCTTCTACTGTCGCGTTCAGTATTATCCAGTAAGAAAGAGAAAGAGAGATAGAGAGAGAGATAGGTCGTTGTATGGTATGTCATACCAGGCGGCGTGTCTTGCGTTATTTCATGGGACGGCATCCTCGTCGCATTCCTATCGTTCGAGAGGTAGTACATAAGTGGTTGTACAGTTAACTCGTCGGGGCCCGGCCGTTTGCCAGTCGCAC